AGGTCACTATGTTTGATAGTAAGTAATGGGTCTTTGTCTTAGAACATATTGAAAAGCAGGTCAAATATGCTAAGGAAGGCATTTATCAATCTAACAATGCTAGTAAAATATATTCATACAACATATACTAAAGCAGTAGGCCATGAGACCCCTTTATCACGGGGAAAGGTGTTGTTAGGCACGACTCAAAGTGAAACCTCCTTCCCTGTGATAAAATCACTGTAAAGCGTGGTCTTGAGTTGCTTATTGCTTTTATAAAATGGTGGCCAACATAAACTATAATAAAATACACAATTTTTCAGAAAACATTAACGTTATTATTGAAAATCAACATAAGTATTCTGCTGAGAAATGTAGTTTCTTTAGAATATGGCATCATTTCTAAGCAATCGAATGAGGAGAACGTTTGGTCACCCATCGCTGTCCACTGCGGTCATTTTACGAACTTTTTAGCTTTTGTTGTATAACAATGAACATTTGATATCACAGCACTGTTTAATGCAAAAGCGTTGACTTTAAGTACTTTTTGGTCACCAAATCACCACCGTGAGTCTTATTTAGCACCAACCCAGCGGCGCCCTCTTCTCACACTGGGGCTGAATCTCAAACGGCTCCCTGCTCCCTACATAGTGCACTAAGTAGGAGTTTAAATACTGGATCCTGCAGCCCAACAGAGCAAAATACAGCTAAGAAACAGTCATTTGGGACTCAGACTCATCCACACTCGATAACGATGCCCTGTTTGACTGTAGAGGCTAGAATTTCTAAACTTTCATAGCTAGAACACTATTTAGGGAGTACAGAGCCGTTTGGGATTCAGCCTGGGTTTGACGCGACTTCTGACTGAAACTCGGACATTTGAAGCATGAAAGACATTCAAGTGACATTTTTAGACTTTTTTACTGCAGTTTTACAGTAAATCATACTGTAAATACTTTAATTCAAGCCTGTGATATTAATGATGGAGCTGTTTAGGCTATTGGCTCATTTAGCCTGTTAGCTAGCTGACCAGACTGGTTCTAGTTAAGAACATAAGTTGTCAGCTGCTCAGTTTAAACAGAACCGGGTTCTTCATCAGTACACTCGGTGCTCCATGTGAGCAGCATGAAAGATCAAAGATTATTCCATTAACAGCACAAGGGCTTTTCTGGCCGTAGCGCAGTGGTACAGACTGTTGTGAGGCGGTCACAGTTGTGTATACTGTACATTTTACAACAGCAAACGCAGCTCAGCCAATCAGATTTTAGGACCAAAAATATCTTTTATAATACTATATCATTAGTGACCTGAAGCCGACTGTGTGACCCATATGATGGTTAAAGGAGTGAACACTATTTAAAATAATATCATAAAATACACTTAAGAGTTTTATTAAACTAAAGTGGCACTTATTTGTTCTTAATAACCGCTGCTTTAGCAAGGGCTTAAAACTAATCATTACAGGTTATAAACTCTCTCAGACTTTATAACAGAATGCAAAGAAAGGCCCAATCCCATTTCGCCCCTCACCCCGGGTAAGGTGTCCTGATTCTTGTTGAGATAGAGGGGTGGGGCGAAGTCTGAGGCTACATGACCCTCCAAACGGAGGTTTTTCAGACTCCAAACAGAGAGTTATGAGAAGAAAAGAATCACAGGCAAGATGGCTGAACAAGAGACCAAAGAAACACACAAATCTGAGAATTTTTTCGTTAATAATTGAGAACCACTGTATTCTCTTAGTTTAATGTTGTTTCAGTGTATTATGGTCCTTTCCTAATAACAAGCATAAAAAGTCACTAATAGTTTGCTGATGTCTCAGTAGCTCACTAACTAAATTACCGTTCCACCTTAAATAGTCCGGTAGTTCTGACGCCTGAAGCTCCAGAATGGAACTGCTGCACCGTTTAAGGCGGAACGGGAAAATTCAAACAAGACGCTGGTGAATATCTGACTTCAGCTTCATATCACTGAAGAATTAGGGGTGGGTGATAATAAATAATTGCCCCCCTCTTTGAAGGCATATGATGCCCTAAATGTAACTAAAGCCCAGCAGTGAGGAGCTGAACTTTACCCTCCTCTGCTGTCACTGCAGACTGGCAGGGTCGCCTACAGAGCAGCGCTAGTAGCTGTTAATGAAGTGATGCTCTTTTTATTTGAGGGTCCCATTTCAGAGGGAGGATTTCAACCACTACCCCTACTAACACAGTTCTAAGGGGCAAGGAGACACTCGAAAACAAGGGGTAGGGGTGAAAATGAGAAATGGGACTGGGCCTAAGACTGTGATTTAAGAAAACATTTTTATTGTAAGTTACTGTAAAATTTATTACGGTGTGAATTCAGATTATTACTATTACTTACTTGCTATTCCTTGATTAATATGTCACATATAGACATGTTAAGCATTTTTGCAACTGAAGTATTACAATTAATTAACGTTTAACTCATAAGTCAAGATAAACAAGACTTAACTAATTTGCAGATGACCTTATTAATACATCTTAAAATGCATTCATAACTCATTGCTTAGAAATGATGTTTCCATTTACTCAGGGCATTATTGATTGCTTGCTAATAATTAATTCACTGTTAAGTAGGAGGCATTGAAATGACTCAATAGTTTAAGTGCTGACATCACAAAGGGGGATAAAGTGGGCGTGGCCTTTGGCTTCATTCCCATGCTAACATTGTCATTAATATTAGTGCACATAGTTGTTACATGTGTGAAATTAGTTTTCCTCTAAATAAAACATCGTTTTTTTACGGTCTGTTACTGTAAAACCGAGAAAGAGAAACTTCCGTCTGTTCCCTTTTAAAGAATGATGAAAATGGTTCTTTATAGTCGTGGTTCTATGTAGAACCACTGTCTTTGCTAAAGAACCCTTGAAGAACCCTGTTTTTTGAGAGTGTTGAATAGGTGTCCCCAAACTGTTCACGGTTCTGAAATGTGTTTGTCTTTTCTACGTCTTAAAAAAACCTACAAATTATGAATTATGATTAAAACAAATGGATAAAAATATGATTGACAGCGTATGAGTGAGTGTGTGTGAGTGAGTGTTGAATTTATATCTTTGCTGGCATTTCGACCAAAAAAAACTGAGTTACATATACAAAAAACGTCTTCTCCAAAAAAGTCCTCTATTTACAAAACTTTCTGCATTAAAAAAAATTCCTAATTATTCCATATTTCTCATAAACAGGGCTCTAATAAAATGTAACTTTAATTTTTTTCTTAACAGAATACAGTATTTACATTATTATCTCAGACTGTAACAAATGACATGACTTTAAACAGTAGGAAATAATCAAATAAACAAAAAAAAATGCAAATTTCAAACAAATTCAAACATTTTCCTCCGTTTGACACCAAAATTGTGTTCACGTTTGTGTTTTTTTGTTCATATTATTGCGTACGTCTGTAAAAATGCTCGTTTGGTTGTTTAGGTTTGTTTACTCCTCACAGCAGAAACAAAAACATAAACGGCTACTGGGGAAACACTGGTGGAATTTATTGATTGTGTTTGTTTTTGTTATTAATAACCTATTAATGAACGGTGATGAATTATTAAAAACGTAAAATAAAGCGTGTTAGTGTTAAACAGTAAAATATAAAATATGTACAGATACAGTGGAACAGAAGGGTTTAGTCGCTAAACACAGACGATCAGTGGTTTTTAATGTCGTAAAGTTTGTCGTAAAGATGCCGTAAAGCGGGCTACATGACACATTTTACAAAATACTCTCCATGAATGTGTCTGACAGATGATGGATATTGAATATTGAATATTTCATGTTCACTTTAATGAATTAAAATAAAAGAAAACAAATGACACATTCGAGCATGAATGAAATAAAAAGGCTGTAAATGAATCATCACATTAAATAAAACAGTAAAACTGATGAAATTTCTCCGGCGGGCGAGCAAGAGCGTTAAATATCAGGGTGTGTGTGTGTGTGCGTGTGTGTGTCTGTCTGTGTGAGTGTGTGTGTGTGTGTGTGTGTGCGTGTGTGCGTGTGTGTGTGTGTGCGTGTGTGTGTGTGTGTGTGTAATCATCTTTCAGTAACTCGTCTTTCAGCGAACGGCCTTTAATAACTTAAAAGCACAAACAGACTGGAGATGATGGACGAGAGAGAGAGAGAGTATGAAAAGGAGAGAAAGAAACAAAAACAAATGGAAGGAAGAATTAGAAATGGGTAAAATAAAGAAAAAGAGAATGAAACAGAGAAAGAGAAAAAAACGGGAATATAAAGCAAAAAATACAGAGACAGAAGGAAGGAAAAAAGAGAGAAAAAGAAACAAGAAAAAATACAAAGTGAGAGCAAAAAAAGCACAAGGAAGAAAATAATAAAAGAAGAAAAAAGAGAAATTTGAGTAAAAGGGGAAAAGAACGAAGAGAAATAACAGAAAAAGAGAAACAGAAACAGATGGAAGAAAAAAGGACAAAATAAGAAAAAGAGTGAAAAAAATTACAAAGAAGAAATAAAGAAACGAGAGAAAAAGTAAAATAAAGATGAGAAATAGGAGAAAAAAGAGAGAGATGGATTATGATGAATGTGTGTTTATGATGAAAGTTTAGGAGGAAATTATTGGTTTAAATTTTCCCTGAAAAAGAGGAAGTGTGTCTGTGTGTGTGTGTGTGTGTGTGTGTCTGTGTGTGTGTGTGTGTGTGTGTGTGTGTGTGTGTGTGTGTGTGTGTGTGTGTGTCTGTGTGTGTGTGTGTGTGTCTGTGAGTGTGTGTGTGTCTGGGTGTGTGTGTGTGTGTGTGTGTGTCTGGGTGAGTGTGTGTGTGTGTGCCTGTGTGAGTGTGTGTGTGTGTGTCTGTGTGTGTGTATGTGTGTGTGTGTGTGTCTGTGAGTGTGTGTGTGTCTGGGTGTGTGTGTGTGTGTGTGTCTGGGTGTGTCTGTGAGTGTGTGTGTGTGTGTGTGTGTGTGTGTGTCTGTGTCGTGGGTGTGTGGTGTGTGTGTGTGTCTGTGTGAGTGTGTGTGTGTGTGTGTGAGTGTGTGTGTGAGTGTGTGTGTGTGTGTGTGTGTGTGTGTGTGTGTGTGTGTGTATCTGTGTGAGTGTGTGTGTGTGTGTGTGTGTGTGTGTGTGTGTGTGTGTGTGTGTGTGTGTGTTTAACTGATCAAGTCTAAATTATTTCTGACTGAAATACAAAGAAACACCTCAGTTCAAAAATCTGGAACCTGTTTTTAATATTTTATTATTATTATATTTTAATCTGTTCACTGAAAAGCATTTCTTAAACTCTTTACTCTGTATTTTAACACTTCAGACGTGATTATATTTACGGTCATTTTTGGTCAAATCTGATCTCCAGTTTTAAAATATGATGAATTCTGAAATTTAATTTTATTTGATATTGGATATCAGTTTTCATTAGAACTTCATTCTGGATATAAATTTTATTAAAAATTTATTCTGGAAATTAACAGAACTTTATTCCAGATATTACTTTTATTAGAACTTCATTTAATTGTTCAGAACAATCAGTTACAGTTATTTATATATTTATTGTTTTTTATTATTAAAAACAAAGATTCTAAATTTTTGAGCTGTAGTGTATAATTTACACAAATTAATATCTGTAAACAATCGCTAAAATAATGACGTTTTATACTTTCACACTGTGTGTGTGTGTGTGTGTGTGTGTGTGTGTGTGTGTGTGTGTGTGTCGGGGGCATTAAATCACCAAAGCACAGAGAAATTCTTGGGTAAACGAGTGAAGGAAACGAGTGATGAAAGTGATTTAAAACAGAAAAAAACTGAAATAAACTAGAAATAAAATAACTAATGTGAAAAAACAAACAGCCCAAGCCTGTCCGTGATTGGCTGGAGGATTTTCCATAATAAAAGTCCACAGCCTGAGTCTATAGAGGTTGGACTGAGAGAGAGAGAGACACACGGGTGAGAAGAAACAAGTGCAAGACGAATTTATTTATCCTTCACTCCTCGTTTTTCATCCCTCTCTTCTGCTTCCATCCTTTCGTCTCCAGAGAGGCTCGACGAGAGGCGAGAGGAAAAGATCCAACATCCTCCCTCTCATCTTACTTGAAGACGTATCCGGCGTTTTCTCTTTCTCTGCCTCTTTCTCTCGTTCTTCTACAACCGTAGTCCATCACTCATCTCTTTTCCATCCCTCTCTTTTCCCTCCTTCCATCCTTTCGTCTCCAGATCTCAGAACTGGTTAAAAATGCGAGAGAAAAAAGATGCATCTTCTCATCTGAAGACATTTATCTTTTTCCTCTTTCTCCATCTCTTTCTCTCTCTTTTCTAATCCGTTTAGTCCTTCACTCGTCTGTTTTCATCCCTCCCTTTTCCCTCCTTCCATTCTTTCCTCCCCAAAATCTCCAGATAGTTTTGAGAACATGACACAAAAGATCCAGCATGTTCCACAGTGTCTTATCTGAAGATGTTATGTGAGGATATTCGCGTTTATCTCTCTCTTTCTTTCTCTCTCTTTCTTTCTCTCTCCTTCTCCTTCCGTCTCTCCCTCTCTCAGACTTTGTAGTAGATGTTGGCGGGGCTTTGGGGGGGCATTTCCTGGACGATATAAACCGGATGTCCGTAATCTCCACTAACTTTCTCGTAGTGCGGGCAGTAGTTGTTCTCGCTGGTGCGCAGCGGGATGATGATGTCACTGGGCTCTGCGCCGGCGTGGGTGGAGCCTTTGGGCGGGGCCAGCGTGCTGAGTGACAGCGCGGCCCCGCCCCTCGGCTGCGAGTGCTTGCGGCTCCTCTTGCGCAGTTTGAGCAGCAGGACGATGAGGATGATGATGATGAGGATGAAGACGAGGCAGCCGGCGCTGATGGAGGCGAACACGGCGGGCTTGGAACCAAAAAACCCATCGGTGGAACTCGAACCGGAACCGGAACCGGAACCGGAGCCAGAACCGGAACCGGAACCAGAACCAGCGCCGTTTCTCGTGTCTAAGAGAGAGAGAGAAAAGAGAGATTGATACACTTTTAGTTGAAGTGAACGTTGTTGAGAAACCCACTTTAGAGAACTCTTTAAGGGTTCTTTAGTGAAGGTATACAGAACCAAGAACACTCAAGGAACAATTTGAATGCACTGCATGGTCAGTTGGTTCTTTGCTACGATGGAAAACCAGCTGTTTAAACAACTTTTATAAAAAATTATTGTATATTAGCCCCAAAAAGGTTCCACTAGAACCCATTTTTAGTACTATTTAGAACCCTTTTTGCTAAGAATGCAATGAAGAAAATGGCACCAAGCACTATTACATCACCACTAAGTGCACTAGAATTGTGTGCTGGTGTGATTGTTAGCATTAGCATTAGCATTCCGCAAGGTAATTTTAGCTAGCTAGATCGCTAATGCTAATGTTATTAGCATGCCTGCTAGCACCGTCCCGGTTCCATCCCCATTTAATTCCTAACAATTGACAGTTATGACCTTGATGCAATATTGTCACTGAAGTTCCTTCTGCAGTTCTGCAAGGGTTCTTTAGCCAAAAGAATGGTTCTGTATCATGACACATTTGCATGCCTGAAGGGTTCTTTACATGGTGAAATGGCTCTTCAGATTGAGAATGTGTTGTTTATGATTCCGTACAGCACCAGAAAGGGTTCTGCTGCTGTACACAACAGAAGAACCCTTTTTGTTGAAATGGTTCTTCAGATTGACGGAGAATGTGCTGCATGTGTTTTATAGACTCTTGACAGAGGGTTCTTTAGTAAAGAAAATGGTTCTATTTAGAACTACAAACATTCAAAGAACTCTTTGCATGGTTCTTTACATCATGAAATCGCAAACAGTAGAAGAACCCTTTATGGTTCTATATAGAACCATTTTTTTTAGAAAGGCACTATGTAGAACCATATACACACATTCTCCCATCAATGTGAAGAACCATTTCACCATGCAAAGAACTTTTAAGCATGCGCATGGTTCTTTGAGTGTTCCTGGTTCTATACAGAACCACTGTCTTTGCTAAAGAACCCTCTTTTTTGAGAGTTTAAACTGGTTTAAACACATTCGGGGGTTTAAGCTGATTTGAGTGACTCTGTACATTAATTATGTTTATTTTATTAAAACTAATGATCGGACTATCAGAACAACCTCAGCACTACCGAAACTTTACCGAATGTTTCAGCAGTGACTGTTTCGGTACTGTTTTAGCTCATTTTGAGTAGAACGCAAAAACGCAGTCGGTACGTGACCAGCAGACCCAGCTCTGAGCAGCTGAGCACGCAGAAAAACAGACCATTATTCATTAAAACACTATAAAATTCAGGAACGCAGCAACAAGAAGACGTAAATGAAGCGAACGCAGTGTGGAGATGAGGATGTGAGCAAAACAAAGCAGAATCTAGAATCTCTGCGGGTTTCGCTGATGAAGTCTGGAGCTCCTGCAGGTTCTCAGCCGGGAGGACGACGAGGAGCAGCTACATTAACTCACTGTGTTACTGTAATGAGGTCATAATGGAGCATGAAGGGCAGCGAGGGGATCTGACTGGACGCCACTGTTACAGCTATGAGCAGAAGAGTCTCAGCACCGACACACACACGTATACACACACACACACACACACACACACACACACACACACATATCTATACACACACATATCTATACACACACAGTGGGAGAGAGAGAGTCTTTCCTGAACATCTGATTCTGGTTTGTCTGGATTTAACTGAGACTAAATCAGTACTGCAGGCTCTCTCGCTCGCTCGCTCTCTCACTCTCTCTCTTTCACTCTCTTTCTCTCTCTTTCTCTCCTTCCTTCTTCTTTTTATTTCTTTTTCTTTCCTCTCTATCTTTTTTCTTTCTCTCTCTCTTTTCTCTCCTCTCTCGCTCTTTTTATTTCCTTTTCTTCTGTTTCTCTCCTGTTTCCTTCTCTCTCGCTCTTTTTCCATCTCCTCTTTCTTCTATTTCTCTCTCATCTTCTTTCTTCTCTCTCTCCCCTTTTTCCTTTTCTTTCCCTCTTTGTCTCTCTTCCTTTTTTCTTTCTGTCTCTTTCCGTTCTCTTTTTCTCTCCTCTCTTTTCCCTTCTTTTTCTTCTGTTTCTCTACCTTTTCCTCCTCTCTTCTTTTTACTTTTCTTTCCCTTTTTGTCTCTCTTCCTTTATTCTTTCTCTCTCTCTTTCCTTTTTCTCTCCTCTTTCGCTCTTTTTCTTTCTTTCTTCTATTTCTCCCTGCTCTTTTTCGTTCTCTTTCCCCCTTTTTTTCTCTTTCTATCCTTTTTCTTTTGCTCTCCTCTCTTGTTGTCTTTCTCCATCTTTCCCTTTCTTCATTGTCTCTTTCTCGCTCTATCTTTCTCTTTTTCGTTTCTTTCTTTCTCCTCTTTCTTTCTATTTCTCTCTCTCTTTTTTAGTCTCTCTCCATTTTCATTTTCCCTTTTTCCCTCTCCTTCTCCTTTCTCTTTTTTTTGCTTTCGGCTCTTCTTCTTTCTCTTCCTCCTTCTTTCTCTCTTCTGTCTTTTTCTCGTTTTCCCGTTTTTGCTCTCTCTCTTTCATTCTTCTTTCTCTTCTTTTTCTCCCTTCTCTCTCTCTCTCCCTTCTATTTCTTTTTTAATTTTTAATTTTTAATTTTTTTTTTAATTTTTCTTTTCCTCTCTTCCTCTCTCTGTTTCTCTCACCCTCTCCTTTATACTCTCTCTCACCTCCCTCTGTCTTTTCTTTCTCTCTTTCTCCATCTTTATCTTTCTTCGTTGTCTTTGTCCCTCTATCTTCTTTTTTTCACTTCTTTCTTTCTCCTCTTTCTTTTACTAACTCTCTCTCTCTCTCTCCTCTCTCTCTCGCTCTCTCTCGCTCTCTCTCTCTCTCTCTCTCGCTCTCTCTCTCTCTTGCTCTCTCTCTCGCTGTCTCACCTTTACTCCCGGGCTGTATGGGTCTGTCTCTCTCTCGCTCTCTCTCTCTGTCTCTGTCTTTCTTCCTGGCCGGGCTGGTTGTTGGGTCTTTAATCTCGTTGTCCTGATCTCGGTCTGGACCGTCTGTTGGCGCCAGGTCGGCAGTGTTTGGGTCTGAAACACACAAACAAAAAGGAAAAAACAATTAATAAAAAGATCCTCTGTAGACGAACATCGTTTAGCTTAAACTTTAGTCTTTATTTTTTTAATCAAAGGTGAATTAATATTTTCAGTCATGTGGTTTAAAGCGTTTAAACAACACTGTCAGATTAATATAAAATACATCAGATAATCTAAAAATGTAAAATAATAATAATAATAATAATAATAGTAAATTATATTGATATTAGTCATTTAAATAAATTATATTTAACAAATGCAACCACACAAATTAATAAATAATAATGATAAACAATACAATTATATATTTGTGAAAATCAACAAATAATAAATGATTTATTAAAACCTGTCAAATAAATAAATAAATCTGTACAAAATAACAAATAATAAGAATATTATGGTCTGTTAATTTGTGTAATAAATAAATGAATAAATTATGCACATTATACACACATCCTATTAAAATAATTTATTTTGTTTTAAATAAATAATAGTGATACAAAATACATTAAATGATATAAATATTTGTGAAAATCAATAAATAATAATTTATTAAAATCTGTCAACTATATAAATGAATAAATGAATGATTATGCACACACGATACACACATTCCTGTCAAAATAGTTTATATTAGTTATAGTTTATATAGCAGCCTTAGCGGTGAGCGTTAACGGGGGGTGTGATTGTCTCAGAGGTTACTGAGGTTCTCCAGCGTGACTGTGCTCGGTACCTGTGGAGGCCTGTTTGTTTTGATGGTTTTATTACTGAGAAAAGTGTTGAGCAACTCTCGCTGCTGCATTCCTTCATGGCTGATGCTTCTCAGTTTGAGTCAGAAACGCCTTCAAATAAATAAATAAATAAATGAATAATAAAGAATCCAAACCCTTTTCCTGGCTGATCTTTCACCCTCGCTCGTTTTTTAACTTGTTTTCTCGTAAAAAATGCATTAAGCCGCAGTTCTTCATCCACAGCCCTAAGTGTGTGTGTGTGTGTGTGCGCTTGTCTTTCTGAGGACCTCACAAAAAAACAGGAGAACATGACATTGTTGCACAAATGGGGACATTTTGCTGGTCCTCACTTGAGCTTGTGTCATTTTCACCACTGGAAAAACTACAAGAGCAGAAAAACTGCCTTTTGGATGCCAAAGTTAAGGTTACACTTCTAAAAACACGGTTCTTCAAGGGTTCTTTAGTAAAAACAGTGGTTCTATGTAGAACCATGAGCACTTAAAGCTTGGTGCTTAAATGTTTTTTTTGCATGGTGAAATGGTTCTTCAGATTGATGTTGCATATTGTTTTATATAGAACCTTTTTTTGAAAATGGTTCTATATAGCAGCAAAAAGAGTTCTGAGACTAAATTGTTACGATGTCAAGCTTGTAACAATAGCAGAACCCCTTTTAATGCTATAAGGAATAGAACCATGTTCAAGTCAATCTAGAGAGCCATTTCACCATGCAGAGAACCATTTAAGCTGTTTACTAAAGAACCCTGAAGAACCATCGGTTTTAAGAGTGTAAGTGTAGTATTTGCTACAGTCATACTAAAATCAATAGAAATCAATGGAAGTCCTCACTAGTAATGTAAGACAAACCCGTGTGTGTGTGTGAGGGAGGAGATGTATAGCTATGCTAAAAGAACATTAATAACCTGTTATGGCTCTCGGGGGTGCTGTAAGGGCTCTTAAAGGCAAATGGACTGAATCATTAGCCAATAAGAACGTCAGGATGGACGAGCGACAGAGACGGCGCACTGTTCCCCGCAGAACCGAACATCACACACACTTATATCTCTGCGCTATAAAGCAGCAGTGTGAGCACTGCAGTCTCAACTATGAGAAACACAAATAATCAGACGGATGTCGCTGCTGCCGGAGCAAAACCTCGTATCTCCAACATGGTAACTTTACAGGAGAAGGAAAAAACCTACTTTACTTTTAATGTAAGTCAATGGAACCAGACTTTTTTCCAAGTCATTTTGGGCCGTTTCTTTTGGTCCATTCTTCATGAAATTTACACACACCGTAAAAGGCAAGAGGCACTTTCAAATTACCTCAAAAACTGAAAAATGACAAAAAATGGAGATACGAGGTTTTCTTCTGACAACAGCGATAAGTGAGAATATATATCATCGCTGTCCAAAGAAAAACATGTATCTCCATTTTTTTCAATTTTTACTTTTACATCATTCAAGCACGACCGACGTCTAACGTGTGAAATTTTCCTGATGAATGGACCAATAGAAATGCTCCAAAACTGCCTGGAGTAAAATCTCTTTATATCACATTACATTGCATACATTTGTGTTTGTGTGTGAAGTCCTTACTGAGTCCTCAGTTACACTAGTTAGTTTAAACTACCCTTTTACTGAATTTGGTTGCGCCACAAATCCATAACTCGTGTCATAACTAGTAACAATCAACTTATTATTAAATGTAATTTTATTTTTTATTAACTTTCAAATTTTTACATTTAAATAAAATTATGCAGAAGAGATAAGAAAAAAGTGAGTAGACCGGTAATTTGAAATCTCTATAATTTGTTTCTGGTTATTTCTTTTTAGCACCATTTGAAATCCTTCTCATGATGAATGGACTGAAAGAACCACTCAAGTTACCTACATTAATTTTTATTAGCATTAAGAATTTTTTTTTTCCCTTTCCTGTAAACGTGTGGCTTCAAAGGTGTGAGATTTTGTTACAATGTTTTATACAAAATATTAAAGACTTAATGTTCAGTTATGATAAAATAATCAATACTGCACTAGCGTAAAGATTTGAACACCCCAGTCAGATTACATGCTATGTTCATTTTCTAAGTGATAATAAGTTAAAACATCTTCTACAGTGAACTCACAAAAACATGAAAACATGTTTTATACTTATTTTAATACACACATACATTTCTGTATATTTGTTGACTAATATTTTTCCCTTTTCATTTTTTTAATAACCAATAACTGTGTTAAAAATGTGCAGAAGTGTCCTTTCTGCAGAGGATGTGCGTTGACTTATTTACACTTCACTACACTTATTTACATTTCCACTACACTACAAAATCAACAAATACGTGAGATTTGACCTGGGGTGTGCAAACTTTTGCACACAACTGTAAGTGTAAATGAAAGTGCAAAAAGTACAATACTGTGGTAGCCAAACAAATTGTTTAAAACTCCTGAGGAGCTTGCAAAACCAGTTCATAACATGAAATTAAAAATGAGATAAAAATAAAATTAATATAAGATTTTCAATTTTTTTAATACATTCGTTTATGGGAATCAGCTTCACTAACATATTTGTCTTACAAGCAGATTTCCACCTTATGAAAACCACATTCAGTCTGTTTTTCCTGGATACTTTACCCTTTCCAGAAGACTTTAATGAAGCGATAGCTGGAACATTTTCAGCGATTTCGACATCATCGTAACGGATCTGGCACTGCAGAGGGTCATCGTCACACACTGACCTCTCCAAACAGCATTAGAGTCCGTCTCACTCTCATTACACAGCTGAGTGGTTTTTGGATTGTTAAAAGGTAATTAGTGAATAAACTCGTTTGTACGGGAATAACAGCCATAACAGGAGATGAAGAGGCCTCGTTTGGAGAAATACACTTTACAGAGTTTCATTAAAATTACTAGCGGACCAGCGGAGTGACATTCATGGATGTTTACAGAGGCTGTGGGCAGTTATGGTGATGAGGACTTGAGTACTTGGTAGTGGTGCGCAGTAGAAATCTCCTGCAAAATTTCCTGCAGAAAATTGGAATAATTTATCCCACTTCCACCCACAACTGAAACGTTTAGTCCCGCTCCCGCCCGCCCAGTTCAGTCAAGGCCAACTGAATCCAATATCTGACATAATCCTTTCATGAATACATTATTCTCTGCTGAAATAACACAGCAGTCATGGCTGTCAGGCGCACTTTGAGTAACATCACCAAACGCCATTTATTCCCAGTAAACACAGAGCAGGAATTAAACCAAAGAGTGGTTATTTCTGGTGTTTTGCTGGGCAGCTGTGGCTGTCAGACTGAAGGCTCCGCGTCTCTGTGAGCTACGAGGATCTGCATGTTGTTCACGTGATCGGCTGCTTCACAGCTCTTTAAAACGCCTTCATTCATTTTAATTTCCTCATTATTATTTTATATTGTTCATATATATGGTTTAGTGATTGTTCTACTTTATTTAAGCTATTCATTACTTTGTGGGATTTCTCTTAATGTGTGTTACGTCCTGCTCCCACCTGCAGTGGGCTGGTTTCCCGCCTGCTCCCACGCACAACATCGAAAATTAATCTTGGGCTGCAAAGATATTGTGGCAGGTCCTGCTGAAAACCGTGGGAGTGCAGACCTCTAGTGCACAGTATGTGTAAAAATTTATATCACGGTGTAATAAAGATTACTTATATACCAGTATAGTGCATGTATGCATATTTTTATTTCAAATAAAATCATTTTGGATGCTTGTAGATTAACAATGGCATATTATTCTGGATGTCCCTTCAATATGAATAAAAATCATATCAAACAACTGGAGTAAATTCGAAACATTTTTAGTGGATGAAATAGTAAAAACAAAAATTAAGTCCACAGCAGCTTCTCTAAATGCTACTGAACGTTGTTTTACGTCTTTTTTTTTTTGTCATTTGTCTTTTATGTACGTCTTGCACACTCAAGCTTTAATCTACGCTGGAATTTAGTAATCACTGATGTCAGAGCAAAACCTTGTATCTCCAAAATGATAACTTTACAGGAGAAGCAAAAAACCTTCTTTACTTATATGTAAGTCAATGGAACCAGAGTCTTTTCCAAGTCATTTTGGGCCGTTTCTTTTGGTCCATTCATCATGAAATTTACACACAATTTAAAGAGCAACAGGGATTTTCAAATTATGCCAAAAACTGAAAAACGACAAAAATGGAGATACAATGTTTTGTCCCGCCAGCAGCAAAAAATTACAGCCGTTAACACTGTTAGTTTCAGCTGAGAAGCTGTAGAGCCTCTCGTCTTGTAGGCCGAGACCACTGCATCGCCTGAAGCAGCTGGCCAAGTCAGTGCATATGGAAAGCCAGCTAGTCCCCATGCTAGGCAAATGGCTAACAGCTAACCCCAAGAGACTGGCTTTTTCTTTCTGCTCTCTTTTCCCCATTAACTCATTACAGTCTGATGTCACTCCTCTGATAGTAAACTGGACTAACTGGCAGCAGCTCACTACACTGCATATATATCTGCATTTATATCTATGTGCATTCAATATAGTCAGTGTTATCAAAGCTTTTAATTGTCTATTTCAGTTATTAAACTGCTGGTCTGGTTGCTTCATTTGACTGACTGGTCAAGCCACCTGACTTTTCAGACTAATTTTAATAAGTTGACTTATTTTGCTCATTTTATTTTAAAGTTTTCAAGCATAAAATCATGTTAAACTATTTTATTTAGAATTGTATATAACTATAGTTTACTTAATCACTATATATGGTTGGATGGTTGTATCACTCGACATTTTTTAGACTTCTGCAGGCAAAAAGAAACTAATGTATTTTATAAGGTGCACTAAAAAATGTTTCACAAATGAGGTATTGTTGAATAATTTGAAATACTTCATGTATTTATTAAATTAGAAAAAAGAAAACGAGAATAATACTATCATTTTTTATGTTGTTAATTTTTCCTACTTACTTTCATTATCTCTTATGTACATCACTAGCATGTGTGTGTTTGTATTTAGGACTCTGTAAGGACCAAATGTCCTCATAATGACTATTTTGTAGAAATGAGGATGTTTTGCTGGTCATCTTTTTACCACAAATTCATCTCTTTTTTGGGGGAAAAACTAAAGATCCGTCGGCTCACTAAGGTTCGGCCTGCAGTTTAGGTTTAGGGTTAGCACTACTTGGCTACAGTAATACAAGTCAACTTACACAGAGTCATACAGAGGACTGTGGGAACACCCCATTAAACAAACAACACAAAAAGCAATACAAAAGTCCCTGTGCACACCTGGCCATAAGCTAATGTTATCTGTGCTATTGGGCAACATTAGCCTGATACGGGCTTAAGCTAACAGATAGATCTTAGAGATTAGAACAGCGCTGTAGCTGAAGGGATGGTATGAACACACGCCCCAGAGGAGGCTTTGACCTTTTGACCGCGGGGTCAAAACAATCATTATGGAGGCCGAAAGGAACCAGACCTGCACATTCCACACAGTCGTAAAGAGAAATGTTTTTAAAATAATAATTTCTCCACTGTTTGGTTCAGTTTAGACGTTTCAGTACAGAGTTTAGTGGGAAAGTTTCTCCTCCTTAATATTTTACTCAAAATTAGAGATTTGTTCACCCTGCAGATATTGCAAAATTGAAATATAAATATATAATATATATAATATATATATATATATATATATATATATGTAATTTTATGAAGTTCAGCGTTTTGTAATTGAACATTTTGTAAATGAACTTAACTTGGACTTAACATAGTTGATCTTTGCATAGTTGAGTATAACATTGTTGAACTTTGGTGAATAAATGTCACCTAGTTTGTGTAGTTAAATGTTACCTAGTTGACTGTTACATAGTTGAACTTTGCATAGTTGAACTTGGTTTAACTATGCACATAGTTTGTCTTTGTATATACTGATGTGACATTTTTTTTTAAACTTTACATAGTTAAACATTATATAGTTGAACTTTATATATTTCAATGTTACACAGTTGAACATTGTGTGGTTGAACTTTTAGTTGAACATTACATAGTTGAACGTGGTATGTGCCAATATTATATAGTTGGACTTTACGAAGTTGAACATTTGGTTTAACATTACATTGATGAACTTTGATTAGTTCAATTTTGTAAAGTTGAATGTTACATTATTAAACTTTGTATATTTCAGTGTTTCATAGTTGAACTTTCTATATGTCAATATTACATAGCTGAGATTTGTGAAGTTGAATGTTTTATTGAACGTTACATGGTTGAACTTTGAGTAGTTGAATTCTGTAAACTTAAACGTTGCATTATTAAACTTTGCATAGATGAATATTTAGTTGAACATTACATAGTTGAACTTTGTGTATATCAATAGTATATAGTTGAAGTTGGCATAGTTGAATGTTATATGGTTAAACTGAGTAGTTGAATTTTGTAAAGATAAATTACATTATTTATTTACATTATATAAATGACATTAAATTACATTATTAAACTTTGCATTTTTAGTGTTACATAGTTGAACCTTACGTCGTTGAACGTTTAGTTGAACAATATATTGTTGAACTTTGAGTAGTTGAAATTTGTAAAGTCTGATGTTACATTATGAAACTTTGTATATTTCAAAGTTAAACAGTTCAACTTTGCATAATTAAACTTTTAGCTGAACATTACATGGTGGAGCTTTGTATATGTTAATATTATATTGTTGAAGTTTGCGTAGTTGAATGTTATATGGTTGAACTTTGAGTAGTTGAATTTTGTAAAGATGAGTCTAACATTTTCAGTCTTACATAGTTGAACTTTGTGTAGTTGAACGTTTAGTTGAGCATTACATGGTCGAACTTCGAGTAGTTGAATTTTGTATGGTTGATTGCTACATTATTAAACTTTGTAGATTTAAATGTTACATAGTTGAACTTTGCATTTAGTTGAACATTACATGGTTAAACTTTGTATATTTCAATATTATATAATTGAAATTTGCATAGTTGAATGTAACATGGTTGAACTTTGAGTAGTTGAATTTTGTATGGTTGATTGTTACATTATTAAACTTGGTAGATTTAAATGTTACATAGTTGAACTTTGCATTTAGTTGAACATTACATGGTTAAACTTTGTATATTTCAATATTATATAATTGAAATTTGCATAGTTGAATGTAACATGGTTGAACTTTGAGTAGTTGAATTTTGTAAAGATGAATGTTATTATTAAACTTTGCATCAACAGTGTTACATAGTTGAACTTTGTGTAGTGGACCTTTTAGTTGAAGGTTACGTGGTTGAACTTTGTACAGTTGAATGTTACTGTTAAACTATCATTTCATGGTATATTTCATAGTTGAACATTACATAGTTGAACTTTGCAGGGTGTGTGTGTGTGTGTGTGTGTGTGTGTGTGTGTGTGTGTGTGTGTGTGTGTGTTACTCACCCTGTCCCACTTTCATGATGATCTTCATGGATCTGGTGCTACACACTCCTCCTTCTCTGTTCTCCAAACCCTCCAGTGTTCCATTAGAGGTGGCTACAGAGAGAGAGAAAAAATTATTGCATTTTATTTTTGTTCCACATTTAAAAGAATGTTTTTTTAATGTGCTACATATAACAGCCCCTCTGTTCTAACTCAGACAGACAAACGGACAGAGACAGCGAGACAGAGAGAAAGCGAGGGGGAAACGGAGGCAGAGAGAAAAAAAAGATTTATGATGTTTCTGATTACAGGTCATGCTGCTGAAACCAAACTGGCAGAGAAACCCTGATTTAACTCTATAAACACACACACACACACACACACTTACACACACACACACACACACACACCACACACACACACACACACACACACACACACACACACACACTTGTGATTGGTGGCAGGGGGTGGGTTGGGGAGGTTGCAGATCTGACCTCAAAAATTCGGCTGAGAATTTTTGGCAGTTGTATGTGGTTCTATATGGCAACAAAAAGGTTCTGCTCTTTTATACAAGCTTGACATCATAGCAACAGCAGAACTTTTGGTGGTGCATAGAACCATATACAACACATTATCCATCAATCTGAAGAACAATTTCATCATGCAAAGAAACAATTAAGCCTACATACGGTTCTCTGAGAGTTCATGGTTCTACATATAACTATATGCTTTGTGTTTTTTTACTACATTAATATCAGCGTAATGTGGAATATGATTTCTGTTAAACTGTTTTCAACAAAGTTATTCAGTAATTTTTGGTTAAATTAGCCTTAAAATGTTTAATTTAATAGGTTTTGTTACTAAAACTGTTAATTTGGTATCAAAAGTCATTAGTTATATTACTAATACAGAACAAACTGCACTGTTATTTTTGTTTGGACAGAAAAAAAAAACTTTTTATTATTCATTTGAAAAGTTCTAAAAGCATTTCATAAATATCTGTATTTCTTACTAGAAAATAATAAATTCAGTTGACACAGGCTTTTAAACACCATTTATAGCCCACACCTCCCTGAAAATTGGTGACAGGGTGGCAAAAAATTCACGTATTTCAGAAAAAAACAGCACATATTGTCTCTGATTTGACAGGCTGAGGTGGAAAATAATATTTTAAGCATAAATGTTAATAATATAATATATTTTAAGCACTTCAATTTAAACACTTCATCAAAAAACACCAAAGGAAAAAGTTCATTTTTAGAGTTTTGAGGACTAAAATGAACTACAAAGGCACATTAGGTCTCACCACCTCATTCAGGAGCTGAAGGTCACTCACAGCTCGGACCTCCTGACTTTGGATGTTTTGATATTTTGGAGACGCAGCTCCTCATGAGGTGAAGCAGAAAACAAACTAATCCTTCTGACGTTGGTCAAAAAGTTCTAGATGGTGGGTTCCGTCAGCTTGGTTGTCACCATAGACATCAGTGATTGGTGGAGTGAGTCTAACTCTTACACACAGCGAACAAAATGTCACATTTTTGCTGTGACATCGTTTCATACACACCCGTTTATTGATGTCGGAATAAATCACGCTCAGTGTGACCAGCTTTTAAACATCCTTCCTCAATACCGACTCTGAGTGAGAGAGTGAGGAACTGTTCTCTAGATGTTCTCTTACAGCTGGACGTGATAGTAATCTGATCTCTGGGGAATGTGGCCCGAGGCCTGTGCACCAGAGCCGGCCCGAATAACTCAAATACTCAAGGACTCGCTCGTTAGGTTGGTGTCAGCTTCTCAATTTAGTAAGACGTAAGAATTGTAGCCTAAAATAAACCACCTCGCCTCACCTCACCTTGCCTCGCCTCAGAGCACAGCAAACTGCACCGCTGTCCACTGAAGCTCACGCTGCGTCCACACCAGCGACACTCAGCGATGAGCAGCGATCAGAGCAACGCAAAGAAGTTCAGCTCAACTTTATGCAAATGAGCAGTGACGCAGGGCGGCGACAACCAATCAGTAAAGACGTTCTAACGTCCCGTGGAAAACCTGCGATGACCTTGGTTCCCGCTGAAGTGATAGTTTAGCACAGCCTCACTGTGAACTGAGCTTCATTACAGGAACAGTTAACTGACGTTACTGTGTGTTTAATGGAAACGGAAATTCATGTAGAACCTGCAGCTCATGAGGGCCTTCATCAGCAAAACAGCTGAGCCTGGTAAGAAATAGAGAGAGAGAGAGAAAGAAAGAGAGGGAAGAAAAAAGGTAGAAAGAAGGAGACAGAGCGAGGGGGGGAGGAAAAGGGGTAGAAAAAGAGAGAAAGAAGAAAAAGGGGAGAAAAGAAAGGGGAGAGAGAGAAAGAAAAAGAGGGAAGGGGAGAGGAGAGAGAAGGAGGGAAAGATAAGGAAGGAATAGGGAGAGAGAGGGAACTAAAAAAGGAAGAAAAGGGGAAGAGAGAAAGAGTGTGAAAGTGGGAGAAAGAAGGAAAAGAGGGGAGACAGAGAGTAATAGGGACAGAAAAAAGAAAGAAGGAAAAAAGCGAGAGAGACAGAGGTCGTAAAAAGGAGTGAGTTCAGTGTAGTGTGAGTGTTGTGTGTGTGTGTGTGTGTGTAGTGTTAGCGTGGTGTGTGTGTGTGTAGTGTTGGTGCAGTGTGAGTGTTTAGTGTTAGTGTAGTGTGTGTGTGTGTGTGTGTGTTTAGTGTTAGCGTGGTGTGAGTGTATCAGACAGAGAGCTGCAGTGTGTGGTGTGGGTTAGTTTTGGTGCTGATGTCACAGCAGGTAATCTCACCTGTACCAACATATTTATTCAATTTAGCCCCCAATTACTGCACACGCACACATACAGACTCTCAGACACACACACACACGCACACACACACACACACATACACACACACTCACACACACTCAGTTATTACCTCACGCAGACGGCTGCTCATTACCGAGTGTGAGTGAGACGTGTGGACACATGAGGGAGAACAAGGCTCTGAGAACGTGACTAATGAGAACCACAGCAGATCAATTAAAGAAGGAGGAAAAAGGCACGCATGAACACACACTCACACCCACACACACACACACACTCACACACACACACACTCACTCACACACACACAGTCATTAACGGCGGCACAAAATCAAACGTCTAAACGTTTCACCATCAAGCGCGATAATAATAATAATCCTCTTTTGAAAAGGTAACTGACTCCAGTTGTGCTGAGACTAATGATTAAATCCATAATTGATCAATTACTTTGATGATTAATTGATCAAACATAATCAAATATAAATGGATGTAACTGAGCAATATTACACATTATCATTACTGCCAACAATCAATGCAGAAATAGCAAGAAGTTTAAGAAAATAAAAATTACATTATTAAATATTTATAATTTATCAATTATTTCACAGATTAAGTAATCAAACTAAAATTAAACTAAATCAGATTTAAAAGGCCAAACAGTGAGCAGCACCAAGCAAATATTGACTATCATCACGCAAATGATCAACTAGTTCATTTATCAAGAAGATTGTTTTATCTATTACTTAAAAATCAAGTAATCAAACAAACAAATGGGATTAACTGAACTCCAGCAATTAAGTGAGAACGAAAACAAAAAGGCCAAACAAAGAAAATTAACTAGAACAAGATGCATTATCATTATGTGCATATTCAATGTAAATATAAATATATATGTAAATATATTTTCATAATGTATCAGTTATTTCAATGATTAATCAAGACGTCTGAAAACAAAAAAGTATGTGAATATTCAAATTATGCAAATTACCAAATAAAATGACGATTTATTTAAGACTTTTCGATTTTTATATTCATAATGTATCGATTATTTCAGCGATTAATCGAGACTTCTGAAAACAAAAAGGCCAAACAATTAAAATGGACTACAACAATACGCATTATCATTATGTGCATATTTAATGTAAATATGCAAATGACCAAATAAAATGACAGTTTATTTAGAATGTAACTTTCGATTTTTATATTCATGATGTATCGATTAGTTCAGAGATTAATCGAGACTGAAGACAAAAAAGCCAAATAATGAAAATGGACAAGAACAATCTGCATCATCATCATACAGATTACTAATAACTGACATTTTGTGGAGAAGGTAAATCGTCACAGCCTCGTATTCAAGTTAAAATGCTTTTAAAAACTGCACCATAAACCCAAAACAGAAAACATCGCCTAACGAGCCCACAGAGCAGTTTTATGTATGACCAGCTGTGCACGTTAATATTAATGCTCTAATTACTGTAATTATGGATGCATAACTGTCGTTATCCAGATTATTTCATACACGGAAACATAAGAAGAAGTAAAAAGCAGAAATAAATGAAACCCAGGAACAGAGCAGGGCTTTGAGAGTGGGCGTGCGGGGGGGAGGGGTGATGAGCGTGGTTGCTAAGCGCCTGTATGATGTCATGCGAATTGAGATGCACGCAGTGGGCGGGGTGCCAGTCTCCCCCAGCCATCGCCGTGCCAACCTGTCACCGTGCCAACCGCCGAGCAGCTCCATGCCAGGGCAGTACGACTCAATTAGAGCTGGCACACACACACGCGCATGTGCAGCGATCTGACCAGAGCGGCTACAGCGTCGGACTGCGGCTCTCAGAGAGTCGTTTAAATATGATTCATTTTAATATGGTTCAGGAACATCTACCATAGATCTGCACTCACTGTCCACTTTATCAGTGCCACTGACCATATAGTTCCACTCTGTAGTTCTACTGTTACAGACTGTAGTCCATCTGTTTCTCTGCTTACTTTGTCACCCTGTTCTTCAGTGGTCAGGACCCCCATGGACCCTCACAGAGCAGGTACTATTTGGGTGGTGGGTCATTCTCAGCACTGCAGTAACACTGACGTGATGGTGGTGTGTTAGTGTGTGTTGCGCTGGTCTGAGTGGATCAGACACAGCAGTGCTGCTGGAGTTTTTAAACACCTCAGTGTCACTGCTGGACTGAGAATAGTCCACCAGCCAAAAATATCCAGCCAACAGCGTCCTGTGGGCAGCGTCCTGTGACCACTGATGAAGGACTAGAGGATGACCAACACAAACCGTGCAGCAGCAGATGAGCTATCG